GGTACTCAAATGTACATAGCATCATTATTCTTAAAAGCCAGAGCGGAAGCAACACAAGTGTCTGTCGCCTCATGAATAAATAAACAAAATGTATTTCTATGTGGCGGAATTTTACAGAAAGGAAGTATTAATCAATGCCACACAATGAAAGAACTTAGCTCAGAGAAATAGTGCTGCAGGTAAGGCACTTGCCTTGTATGAGGCCAACCTGGCTTCCATCCCTGGTCCCACGTACCACATACGGTCTTCCAGGCACCTCCTGTAGTGATTCTTGAGTACTGCTAGGTGTGGCCCAAAATCAAGCCACACCAACAAAACCAAAAATTCAAAACCCAAAACCCAGGGCTGTGTACAGTAGGTAGAGTATTTGCCTTGCATGCAGCTGACCCAGTTTCCGTCCCTGGTACCACACGTGGTTCCCGAAGAACCACCAGGAGTGATTCCGGAGCACAGAGCCAGGAGTAAGCCCTGAGTACCACTGGATGTGGTCCAAATACCCGTTCCAAAAAAAAAGGAAATAAAAATAATGAAAGAGCCAGAGAGAAAGCTCAAAGGACAAGTGCATGCTTGAGTATGGAATCTTGGATTCGATCAAATAATCCCCAGTTGTAAAGTAGACGGCAACTAATCTCAACAAAATATATATATATGTATATTAGCACACAAGGCTCAACCTGTAACAACATGTTAGTAATCTCTTATGCTAGGGCTTAATGGCTCCAAGGTGAGGTACAACAATCTTCATACACTTTTCTCTAAGGAAACCTTTTTGGATCATTTTTAGCAGATTACTCAACAATCAATACACAATAAATTATTTAGGATCTGCCTTTGGGGCAGGCTTGGGTGGTGGTGGTAAATTTCAAAATAATGGTGTTGGTAAGGTGTAATGGTGGTCGATTGGTGTTGGAATATTGAATGTAATAAATTATTGTGAACAACCTTATAAAAAAACTTTAAAAAATGTGTATATATAACCCAAATGATCCCCAGAGCACCAGCAGGAGAACCCCTCAATTATAGTCAGGAATAGCTATTGTGTTCTTTGTTATGTTTTGGGTTTACTTTTTTTTTTTTGTTTGTTTGGGGGGCCACACTTGGCAATGCTCAGCAGTTACTTCTGGCTCAGCACTCAGGAATCACTCCTGGCATTGTTCAGGACTGGAAAACAGGTCAGCCATGTACACAGCAACTGCCCTACACACTGTATTGCTGCTCTACCCCTTGGTTTGGTTTTGTGGACACGCCTGGTGGTACTTAGGACTTACTCTTGGCTCTATGCACAGGGAGCCCTCTTGGAAGGTTGCAAGGGATACGGGGTGCTGGGGATAGATCCTGGGTCAGCAGTGTGAAAGGCAAGTGCCCTACCAGCTGCTGTAAGGTATCTCTAGCCACGGGCAGTTCATGAGCACCACCAGGTGTGGCCTACATAACTCTCCCCCCAAAAAAGGTTGACAAAGAGGGCCAGAGGGATAGCTCAAAGGCTGGAGCTTCAAGTTCGATCACCAGTGCCACGGGGTCCTTCCGACACCTGCAGGAGTGATCCTAGAGCATTGCATTGAGAATAGCCCCCAAGCACTGCCAAGGGCGGTCAATAAAATAAAAAATCATTTAAAAAAAAAAGTGTCCAAAGCAATTGAATGGAGAACCAGTAGAGAGAAACAGATGACCAACTGGGCACAACCGTGCTCCCTACCTTTAGCTTCAGGGAAATGCAAGTCCAAACCACAAATATGGGGGACCAGGGTGATAGTACAGTGGGTAGGGCGCTTGGCATGCAGGTTTGGTTCTCAGCATCCCACATTGTCCCTTGAGTTCCACCAGGGGTGATCCCTGTGCAGAGCCAAGAATCAGCCCTGAGGGGCTGGAGCAATAGCATAGCGGGTAGGGTGTTTGCCTTGCACTCGAACCTGACCCAGGTTCAATTTCCAGCATCCCATATGGTCCCCTGAGCACCGCCAGGAGTGATTCCTGAGTGCAAAACCAGGAGTAACCCCTGAGCATCGCTGGGTGTGACCCAAGAAGGAAAAAAAAAAGAATCAGCCCTGAGTACTTGAGTACTGCTGGGTGTGGTCCCCAAAACAAATAGACCAAAAAAAAAAATAAATCCCACAAATGTGTTAAAAACCAAACAGCCCATAAATATGCTGTCACTTCTACTGGGATGGTTGGAATCATAAAAAAAAAAAAAACAGAGTAACAATTATTGTCAAGGATCCATAGACGTGTTGGAACACTATGACTGGAACACAATCCTGAACAACTTTGTAATGGTCTATCTCACAGTGATTCAATTAAAAAAAAATCCATAGCAATTGGAATCCTTGCTCACTGCTTGTGGGAACTGGACCTGGGTTCGATCCCCAACAAGTTGGGCAGTAACTGCCTGAACACATAGCCAGAAATAGACTGAGCTCTGCTGGGAGTGGTCCCCCCAACCAAACAAAAAGTTTATTGTCTGGTCAATAAAATAGATCCTCCTCAATACTGTGGAAATTTCCTCTTTTGCAAAAAGATTTTTTTTTGGGGGGGGGTGGTGTGGGATGAGATTTGAGGCCACACTCTGGAGTATTTTGAGGGCTACTCCCAGTTTAATAATCCAACCCGGGTCTCCTACATGCAAAGTATATGCTTCAGCCCCTTGAATTCTCTCTCTGGCCCCAGACAAAAGATTTACTTGGTTGTAACCCGCTCACCTCGTGTCTTTCTAGAAAATTGATGAGCTAGGGTCTGGTGCAGTAGGTAGGGCATTTACCTAGCTTGTGGCCGACCCAAGTTCGATCCCTGGCATCCCATAATGAGGTAGGGTGGAGGGTAGCTGTCTGAATACTGTCAGGAGTAAGCCCTGAGCATCACTAGATGTGGCACAAAAACAATTGATGAGATAAGCCTTTACTAAAACATATCAAAATAAAAACAAAATTTTCCTGGTCCTTCCCTTAATCAACTAGGGAAATGGGTCATTTAAATGCATCTTTGCTAATAATGAAAAAAAAAAGCATTTTTTGTACGACACATCTTAGATGTGTTTCCATTGAAAGCCAGCAGGCCAGTGTGAAAGATAGTTCAGAGGGCAGGAGGGTGGGAGGCCAGGTTCAATCCTTGGCAAAGGTAATCCTTCCTTACTATCAGTCAAACCTGATAGCAGAATCTCATTTTCATCAGAACCTTTACTTCCAAAAAAAAAATAAAAAACCCCATACCTTCTTTTTAAATGCAAATGTTCAAGATAAAGAACTTTTTTTCTCGTGCTGGCTTCGGCAGCACAAATACTAAAACTGGAACGATACAGAGAAGATTAGCATGGCCCCTGCGCAAGGATGACACGCAAATTTGTGAAGCGTTCCATGTTTTTGTGGGTATTTGATCATTGTATAATTGAAACCCAAGCACAAAATTTGTAAGTCTACAACTGTACCTCATGGTGTCTCACTAATTAAAAAAAAGAAACTGTCCTTGACAGCTTTTCCTCAAAAAAAAAAAGAACTTTTTTCTCTCTTTCTTTCTTTCTTTCTTTCTTTCTTTCTTTCTTTCTTTCTTTCTTTCTTTCTTTCTTTCTTTCCTTCTTCTTTTGTAGTTTATGTGGTCTTACCCTGCTGTGCTCTGTTTTCTTTTTGTTTCGCTTTTTGTTTTTTGGGCCACACCCAGTGATGCTCTGGGGCTACTCCTGGCTTTGCACTCAGGCAGGCATTACAACTCGGAGAGGCTCAGGAGACCAAATGGGATGCCTGAGATTGAACCTGGGTAGGCCCTGTGCAAGGAGAAGAGGGGGGCCTCCTTAACTCCTCCCCTTGCCCCCAACCCCTCACCCCATCAGTTTGACTCACCTGACTTTCAAAGTGGATCCCAAATCTTCTTCCCTTCCCCACTGTCCCGGCCCTTCCCTGGAAGGGGCCATTCATCAGTCTTAATTGTCCCCTCCCCCCACACCTCCTTCTTGCTTTGTCTAGACTCTGCGGGGGGTCCTGCCCTCCGGGTATCAAACCTCCCGGGGTGGCTTTCCACTGCACTTTGGGTTCAGAATCTGCCGGAAGTGTCTGACCTGGCAGGGGGTCCGGCTTACGTCGGTCACACCTGGGCAATTGCTCCCAGCTCCCCTGGGGCTCCTTTGGCATGGGTCCCTGGGCTGGTGCTCGTCCTGGACCCGTGCCCTGGACGCTCCCTGGCCCTGCTCACCCACCCTCTTTGCTTTCTGCCCACGGAGAGATCTTGGCGTCCTGCAGCGGGACCAGCGGCCCGCCCCTCCCTCAGTCTCTTGACTTTTTGACTCCGTGCCTTCCGTTACTGTGCTTTGAAAGGAACAGGCTTTGGGGCTCCGTGCGATCATTCAGCGGGTAGGGTGTGTCCCTTGCACGCAGTTTGACCCGGGTTCTATCCCTGCCGTCCTCCTCTGATCCCCCTGAGCACCTCCAGGAGTCATCCCTGAGTGCAGAGCCAGGAACAAACCCTGAGAACTGCCTGGTGCAGCCCTAACCCCCCCAAACTGAAATAAATAAATGAAATTAAAGAACAGTCGGTCTTCCCAAGGGGCTGGATTGGGGTGCCGTGAGAACCTTCCATGCGCTGCCACCACCACGGAACCTTGAGCCTCGTGCTGCCTGGGGACAGGGCGGGGCTCACGGGTGGGGACGCCGCGGTCAGGAGCGCCCGGGGGAACTGTGTGTTCACGTGCATTTCCGTCTCTCTGGCCGGAACAGTGCCCTGAACCGAGCCAGGAAAACATCAGCCTCTTGAAGTGCCCCCTGAGCGGTTGGACAAAGCTGCAGGGTCAATGGCAACATTGTATTGGCATTCGTGCTACTGAATGGTCCGCAGACTCGCGGCCAGGGCACGGGATTTCCGGATTTAACTTTTAACACAATCGAAAATATGGAAAGCTTTCCAAAAAGAAAAAGAAAACCAAAGACGACAAAGAATGCAAGAATGCAACCAAGTGGGCGCACCCCAGGGGTGCCTGGTCCCTCGGGAGGCGGCCAGGGCGCGGCCGTGCGTTCTTTTTGTTTTGTTTTTAATTTAACATAACACGCCTCCTTTTCTTGCAGCCCGGGAGTGGAGGTGGGGCTGGGGCTGCAGCCCCGGGACCCGCGCCGGGGCTTCCAGGGACCGGGGTCCGGCTTCCTTCCGGCGCCACTTCTGGGGAGTCCTCAGAGGCGGAGCCCCGCGCGCCGCCTTTGTCTCTCTTCCAGGGGTTGAGCCCCGGCCCCCGCGTCCCTCCCGCGTGCTCCCAGGTAAGGCACCTGAGCTTCCCGCGCGCGCCTGCAGCATCCCCGGTACGCACGGAGCGGGGTGGGGCGTGCGCGCGCGCGTGCGTGCCCGCCGAGCCTCCCCTCCCGGTGTGCCCCCTGCGGGGGGTGGGGTAGGGGGCTAGCGCGCTTCTCCGCGTGTCCACGGCGTCTCCCGCCCCTCCCAGCACCACTGACCCACGCACTGATGTGGGTGAGCGGCTCCGACCGCCCCGGCTACGCTCAGGTTTCTGTGCCCCAGGCGGCAGTTTGTACTTTTGTTCCATGGGCAGGTCGTTTTAATTTCTCTTTCCTTTTACTTTTTCTTTTCTTTCTCCCTTTTTTTTTTGGCTTTTTGGGGTCACACCCGAACATGCTCTGGGCTCTGCAATCAGGCGGTGCTGGGGGACCCTATGGGATGCCGGGATCCAACTTGGGCTGGCCGCGTGCAAGGCAAACACCTTCCCCGCGGTACTATGGCCTCGCCCCCCCCCCCCCCGTTTTTTTTGAATTTTCACTTTCTTTTTTTCTTTTCTTCTCTTTTCTCTCTTCTGTTCTCTTTTCCCTTTTTCTTCTGCCCCCTTCCCTTCCCCTCCTCTCTCTCTCCCCCTCTCCTTCCTCTCCTCCCCTTTCTTCCCCACACTGAACAGTGCTCAGGGCTTACTCCTGGCTCTGTGCTCAGGGAGAGCTCCTGGTAGGGCTCAGAGACCATACTGGGTGCTGGGGATCAAACCCCTGTGGACCTCAGGCAAGGCAAGCGCCCTGCCCACTGTACTCCAGCCCCATAGATACGAATTTCTAGCACTGTAGCACTGTCCTCACGTGTTCGTTGATTTGCTCAAACGGGCACCAGTAACGTGTCCATTTGTGAGACTTGTTACTGTTTTTGGCATATCGAATAATACACGGGTAGCTTGCCAGGCTTTGCTGTGGGGGCGGGGTACTCTAGGTAGTTTGCCTGGCTCTCCAAGAGTGGTGGAGGAATCGGACCCGGGTGGGCTGCATGCAAGGCAAACGCCCTACCCGCTGTGCTATCCTCCAACCCATGGACTTCTAAGCAGTGTATTATGGGTAGTTCTTGTTTGTATAGTTCACCAAATAGTGGCATGTTCATAGTATTTCTGAGTCATTTTGCTTGTCCATCGGTAGCCTTTTGTATCTGTTTTTTTCCCTTTTGGGTCACACCCAGCAATGCACAGGGGTTACTCCTGACTTTGCATTCAAGAATTACTCCTGGCGGTGCTCAGGGGGCCATATGGGATGCTGGGAATCGAACCCAGGTTGACGGAGTGCAAGGCAAACGCCCTGTCCGCTGTACTATCGCTCCAGCCCTGGTACTGATTCTTAAGAGTCCTTTGTGTTGGTCTTAGGCATTGCATTTCCCTTCTTCTAGTAATCCACTGTAAGATCTGTTACTCATGCATTTTGTTGCTGATAGATATTTGTCTTTTTTGTTCTTGTTTTTGAGACTCACCTGGTGGTGCTCAGGGCTTACTGCTAGCTCTGTGCTCAGGGGTCTCCTGGTGCAGCTCCGGGGACCATATGGGATGTGGGGGATAGAACTCAGGTCAGCCACATGCAAGGCAAGCACCCTGCCAGCTGTACTCTCTCTCCAGGTGATAGATGTTCAGGGGTCAGTTTTTCTTTCCTTCCTTCCTTCTGCTATGAATGGTACGTTGGGGGCAGGGCTTGGGGGACCCCATGTAGTGCTGGGAATTGACTTGGGTCAGCAGAGTACAAGGCAAGTGTCCTGCTGACTGAGCTGCTGATGGACGCTGCTAGTGCATGTCTCTTGGTATACTTGGGCAAGAGTTTCTTCTGCTCATCGTAATAAGTTTACCCCTTTATTTAAACGCTTCTTCTTTTGGAGGGGAGTCACACCCGCACATAATGCTTGGGGGCTGCTATCAACACTTTGTTTTCAGATCATGTTTGGTGGTGCTTGAGGGAGCAAAGTGGGGTTTGGCCACATGCAAGGCAAGTGCCTTCACTCTTGTACTATCTTTCTGGCCTCGAGTGTCGTATGTGATAACCTCGCAAGACTTAGACACCCATTTATCTGGCTTTTGGTGCTGCACCGTGTCACATACTATCTTCCTGAAGCTGGGCTTCAAACCAGGGCCTCACACATGCCAGGCACGTGCTCCAATGTGGAGTCACCTCCGTGGCTTGGTTTACTTTATTTATTATTTTATTTATTTAAAAAAATTTTTTTGGGTTACACCCGGCGATGCACAGGGGTGACTCCTTGATTTACTCCAGCCCCTTGATTTACTTTTAAAAACTTAAAACAGCAGTGGGGCTGGAGCCATAGCACATCGGGTAGGGTGTGTTTACCTTGCACATGGCTGACCCGGGTTTGATTTCCAGCATCCCATATGGTCCCCTGAGCACTGCCAGGGGTAATTCTTGAGTGCAGAGCCAGGGGTAACCCCTGTGCATCACCGGGTGTGACCCAAAAAGCAAAACAAAAACAAAAACTTAGCAGCTTTTCATCCAAAACTTAACCTAGGGGCTTACGGTGGTGGGCAGGTTGAAGATTCTTTGACAGTGGTGAAGCGGCATCTCTTCCATCCGGCTGTTCCTGGGTTACCTCCTTCCGCCATACTCTAGTTGCCCGATAAATCCCGGAGCCAGTTTCCCAAATGCCCCCCATTCTAGGCTTCTCCCAGCCGGCTGGCATTGCGGACTGGAGCTTAAACCAGGCCACATTGCCACTGCCTGTTGGTGAGCTGCTCTGAGGGTAGAGTCAGGCTGGACACCTCTTGTGCACGTGGATTTGTGCTCCATGGGGAGACTGGGGGCCCCTCGCTGAGGTCAGTATGTTAAGAAGATGGTTTTGCCTGAAGCTCTGGTGCCCTGCCATGGAGGCCAAACTGTCTGGCAATCTATCAGGATCTGGAGAGATAGTCAGCGGGGAGGGTGCTTGCCTTGCACGTGGCTGACCTGGGTTCGATCCCCGGCATCCCTTATGGTTCCCCCAGCCCCACCAAGAGTGATCCCTGAGTACTGTAGCACTGTAGCACTGTCCTCCCGTTCATCGATTTGCTCGAGCGGGCACCAGTAATGTCTTTATTGTGAAACTTGTGGTTACTGTTTTTGGCATATCGAACACGCCACGCGGAGCTTGCCAGGCTCTGCGTGTGGGCAGGATACTCGGTAGCTTGCCGGGCTCTCCGAGAGGGATGGAGGAATCGAACTTGGGTCAGTTGAGTGCAAGGCAAATGCCCTACCCGCTGTGCTATTGATCCAGCCAGGAATAACCTCTGAGCATCACACCAGGTGCTCCCTTTCCCCCCTCCCTCTTTTTTTTTTTTTTCAATTTATAAAAGAACTATCGGTGCAGAAGAGATCAGGATCCCGTGGGTCCTGCGGGGACTATATTGGGTGCCAGAGATCTCTTTAGTCCCTACTTCCCCTAATCTTGTTAAAAAGGAGAGTGGTATCCATGATCTGGACGGGATCTGCCTCAGTGACAATGGGCATATGGACTTGGAGGGATCCCCTGGGGCCCTGCTCACTTGCTGTGGGGACCAGGGTGAGGATAGCTACCCAAGGGGTGGTGGTGGGGAGGCTTTCCCTCCACAGTCTGGAATTTCTGAACAAAACAAGGTCTGGCTTCCTGTGGGCTGACAGCCACAGTGGTGGCAGGCCTTATTCTGCCCCTCTATGTCCATGTCCTGGCTCCTGGCCCTTGGGGTGGGGACACTCCCAAGTGTAGCAAGATATGTGAAACCTGTAGCACCGCATCCTACAAAGGAGACCAGCGCGATGGGGATGGTTCCTGCAGAGGCTGGCGAGTCTCGGCGCATCACCAGGAATTGATGGGGGCCATGTGGTCCAGGGCTGAACCAGGGAGGACAGTCCCTACTGTGGGGGGTGGGCTTGGGGGAGGGGGGCAGCTCCTGGAACACTGAGGTCACAGTGGCTTCGTTCAAGTTCTCAGTGGATCGGCAATGTCACCGTGGAATCCCATTGTGACTGCAAGCCCCACCCCCAGAGGATACTGGGGAAAGTGCTCATCTCATCTGCTGCCCCAGACCCACGGGCACGAGGGCCACTCTCCCCTAAGCACCGTCCATCCAGGATCCGGGTGGGGTGGAGAAGGCCTTTCATTCTCTAAGGTCAGATAAGCAGAACTAGCCTGTGCGGCCCGATCCGACCACACCTTGAGCGCAGTCAGCTCACCGGCCAGTGCTGTGTTCCCAGCTTGTGCAGGGGACCGCTTGTCCTGATCCCCGAGTCCTGGTTCTCTGTGCCATGCCTGCCGCGCCACCCGAGCTCACCCATAACACTGTGCCAGCAGAGTGCACGATGGGATGGAAGGATGTGGCGGTGAGTTCCCCGAGTGACGGCAAGGATGCGGCACGCCTATGGCCTGGCAGAGTCTCTGAGCAGTGGGACCTGTGGGCAGCAGCAGATGCCAGGCCGGGGGCATGCGTGCTCAGTGGACTCCCTGACTCTCTCTTCAGGAGCTGACATTCAGGAATTCTGGAGGCTTCCCGGGATCGAGCTGAGACACCCCCCTCCACACCCATAAACCACCTGGGATTCTCAACCAGGAAGCTGCCCTGTCTGCTGCCTCTCGGGTTCGTCACCCTGACCCTCAGGTATGACTCCTTAGGAGGCAGGACTCTGCTTGAATTTTTTTTTTTTTTGCTTTTTGGGTCACACCCGGCAATGCATAGGGGTTACTCCTGGCTCATGAACTCAGGAATTACTCCTGGCAGTGCTTGGGGGACCATATGGGATGCTGGGAATCGAAACCGGGTCAGCCACATGCAAGGCAAACGCCCTACCTGCTGTGCTATTGCTCCAGCCCCTCTGCTCGAATTTTTTTTTTTAAATTTTTATTAGTGAAACACCATGAGGTACAGTTGTAGACATACAGATTTTTGTGCTTGGGTTTCAATTATACAATGATCAAGTACCCATCCCTCCACCTGTGCCCATTTTCCACCACCACGGATCTCAATAGCCATGTTTTTTTTTTTTTCTGCTCGAATTTTTGCTGTGCAGAAAACTCTCATGAGGAGCTGATGGTGAACACTGTTATTAGCGCATTCCTGTGTTATTACTATCTTTTCTCTCATGATTTTGTTTGTTTGGGGGCCATACCCAGTGGCGCGCAAGTCTTACTCCTGGCTGTGCTCAGGGATCACTCTGGGGAATCATATGGGGTTCTGGGGATTTGAACTGGGATCGGCTGCATGCAAGGCTAGTGCTAACCCCTGCACTATCTTTGTGGCCCCTTCTCATCACTTTTTGTTGTTTTTTTAACTGTCATTTTTGTTGTTGTTGTTGTTTGGGGACATACCTGGCAATGTTCAGGGGTTACTTCTGGCTCTGCATTCAGGAATCAGTTCTGAAAGTGCTTGGGGAACTGCATGCAAAACAAGTACTTTCCTCTCTGGACTATCACTCTCCGCCCTGTTTTCACTGTGATTCTACAGCAGAAAGTTCATAGGACAGAGGAGGGACATGGGGCTGATCTTTCTCTGCTGACCTTTGTGCTATTTGAGGTTCTAACACATCCCCCCTGCTAAGAGCTCTGGTTGCCGGACAACTGCCACAATGTCCTCACAGTTTCTTTTGAGTGTGCTCATGGGGGTGAGGGGAAGATGGGTGGGGTGGAGGGTTGGGAGGAGGAAAAAGAAGAAAGAGGGAGAGAATGAGAATGAGCCCATTCAGGTATCTGCAATTTCTTTTGTTTTGTTTCCTTTTGTTTTGGGTCACACCCAGCAGTGCTCAGGTTATTCCTGGCCCTGCACTTAGGAATTGCTCCTATGGGATCCCAGAGATTGAACTCAGGTTGGTTGCGTACAAGGCAAACTCCCTACTTGTGTGCTATTGCTCATGTCCAGGTATCTGTACTTACAATGATACTGACCTTATAGGAACAGAGCCCCACTCTCTTTTGTTGTGTTTTGTTTCTGGGGCCACACCCCTCTTTGCTCAAGGGTTCCTCCTGGCTCTGCACTCAGGACTTACTGTAGGACCATATGGGGTGCATTCCTGCATTTAGGAATCACTTCTGGCAGTGCGTGGGGGAACCATATGGTATGCTGGGGATCAAACCCAGGTCAGCCGAGTATAAGGCAAGTGCCCTACCCACTGTACTGTCTCTCTGGTCCAGCACCCCCCCCTTTTTTTGGGGGGGGGGTCAAACCCGACGATGCTCAGGGGTTACCTCTGGCTCTACACTGAGAAATCATTCCTGGAGTTGTTCAGGAGACCATATGGGATGCCAGGGATCGAACCTGGGTTGGTCGTGTGCAAGGCAAATAATGCCTTACCCACTATAAAACTGCTCAGGCCTCCAGAATTTGTCTTTTTGAGACTTAGTTCTTTTGCTATCCTGTCCTCAAGATTCATCCTTATTGTTACGCAGAATTTCCTTTCCTTTTGAATAATTCTACCGCATGTAAAGACGTTTCCGTTTGGCAGTTGGACTGCCATTTAAGAATTCATAGATCTCTCCGGAACCAGGCAATACAGTGGAAAAATATTCCACTATTCTAAAACTGTCAAAAATCAAGAAAATGGGGGGGGGGCCAGAGTCATAGTACAATGGGTAGGAAGCTTGCCTTGCACATGCCTGACCCAGCTTCCATCCCTGACCCCCCATATGGTCCCCTGCACCGAGCACCGCCAGGACTAATTCCCTAGCACAGAGCTAGGAATTATAACCCTTGAACATCACGCGGTGGGCCGGGTGGGTGCTGGCGGCCGAGCCTCCCAGCCTGCGGGGGGCGCTGTGGGCGCCCACTTCCGGTGGGCGGGGCCTCTGGGGGCGTGGCCCCGGGGGAAGCCGGGAGAGGGAACTTGCAGGCGAGGTGCGCAGTGCGCAGAGGCGGCTGGAGGGAGGCGAGCGAGGCCACCTGGGCCAGGTATGTTTCCCCAGGGGGCGGCCCGGGGAGGGCGGGGGTGCCCTGTCCCTGTTCCCCGCGGGCCAGTGCTGCTAAGAATCGTTCCCAGGGGGTGCTGGGAGTCCAGCACGGCCTCGGTGGACCCAGGACTCCCCTGGGTTGCGGTTGCTGGGGGAGGGGGGCCTCATCTTCCCGGGCTGGGGAGTGGGCTGATGGCCTGGCCCCGGGGAGCTCGGGCTGAGCCCGCCCCTTCCCCCTTCCTCCCCCCCCCACCTTCCGGCCTGCATCTTCCAGGTGGCTGCACCCTGCCAGCATCCTCTGCCCTCACCCTGCCCAGGTTGGTACCTTGCAGGTGAGCCCTGCTCATCCCCACGCCTTCATGCGCTGTGCCTCCAGGAACCCGGCGATGGTACCAGGCGTCTGCCCCTTCGACGTGGATGTGGGTGTATCAGGGGCAGGCCGGGTGACCCCGGGAAAAGGAGCATCTGGAACTCTCTCTCTCTCTCTGTGCCTGTTGGCTTTTCCCAATCTGGATGGAATCATAACAGAATTTACCCTTGATGGATTTCCTTTATTTTTTTTCTAAAAATCTTGTTTGGGGCTAGACTCTGGCAGGGCTCAGTGCTGGGACCCCTCTGGGCAGTGCTCAGGAGAACTCGGGATGCTGCGCTTATTACTCTGGCCGGTAAGGGATCTTGGGGGGGTCATTACTTGAGTCATTGAGGATGAAGGTGTGGAGCGGAGATTAGATTCAGGTGCCCCAATTTAATTACCCACCTGCCCTATTGCCACTTTGCATCTGTGATTATTTCCTTCCATTTGACTATCAGTCTCTGTTTTTTGCTTTTTGGGTGACACTCAGTGATGCCGAGGGGTTACTCCTGGCTCTGCACTCAGGAATTACTCCTGGCGGTGCTTGGGGGGACCATATGGGATGCTGGGGATCGAACCCGGGTCGGCCGTGTGCAAGGCAAATAAATGCCCTCCCAGCTGTACTATTGCTCCGGCCCCTGACTATCAGTCTCTGATCATCCTCTTGCTCCCTAGCCCAGCGCTGTGCCAGGGGGCAGTTGGGGTGGTCAAGACAGTGCTTTGAGGCGGGGAGAGCATCTGTGCAGGGACTCTCCTCCCCAACTCCAGTGGGGAGTGGCCCCCACAGACATGCTGAGCACTGTTTGGGAATCCCCTCGCCCAGTTTTGCCCTCTGTCTGAAGAGTCGTTTGAACAAAGCTAGCAGTCAGCTGTTGGCCTTTTTTTTTTTTTGGTGTGGGGGTGATGGTGGTGGTCAGTGTTACAGGTTTATTGGGAAGTGACCCCCATGCCCACATTCATGGTGGACAAAACCAAAAGGAATCACAGACGTTTGTAAGTTGACAGCTAAGTTATTTCTGATTATACTTTAGAAAGGTTTTCAGAGCCTCCTGTCTTCTGTGCATATTCTGATTATATTTTGAGCAAAATGAAGCAGATGGAGTTCACCTGGATTCATTTGTTGGGGGGCACATCTGGCAGTGCTCACAGGACCAGGTGGTGTCGGGCGTGGACACGAACCTCCCGCACCCAGAGCCTGTGCTCGGCCGGGGGAACTATCTTCTGGCCCCATTTTTTTTTTTACCCTTTCTAGGTGGTTCTCAAGACTGAACCTCAGGCCGTGCCACGGCATGCCCTCTCCCCCCAGAGCCATGTCCAGGCTCCTGCCTTTCCCCTTCCTGGCTTTTGGGAGCTGCTTCTGGCTCCGTACTTGAGGGGTTTTCCCCTGTGATATTTGGGGGAAACACACAGTGCCAATGATCAAACTAAGAGCACTCAAACTCGGAACAAGCTCTCCAGCCCTTTGTTTTTGTTTTATTGCTTTTTTTGGGTCACACCCGGCGATGCACAGGGGTTACTCCGAACCCAGATAGGGCATGTGTAAGGCGTTGCTCTGCCCCCAGGGTCTGATATATCTTTATTTTATTATTATTATTTTTGGATATAATATAATAGATATATTTATTTTATTTTTATTACTGGCTGGAGCGATAGCACAGAGGTAGGGCGTTTGCCTTACAAGCGGCCAACATGGCCGACCCGAGTTCAATTCCTCCGCCCCTCTCGAGAGCCCGGCAAGCTACCGAGAGTATCTCGCCCGCACGGCAGAGCCTGGAAAGCTCCCCGTGACGTATTCGATATGCCAAACACAGTAACAACAAAAGTCTCCAATGGAGACGTTACTGGGCCCGCTCGAGCAAATCGATGAACAATGGTTTGTTCACAGTGGGTAGGGCGTTTGCCTTGCATGTGGCCGACCCGGGTTCGATTCCTCTGCCCCCTTGGAGGGCCTGGCAAGCTACAGAAAGTATCTCGCCCGCACAGCAAAGCCTGGCAAGCTACCCGTGGTGTATTTGATATGCCAAACACAGTAACAAGTCTCACAGTGGAGACATTACTGGGCCCGCTGGAGCAAATTGATGAACAATGGGAGGACAGTGACAGTGATTATTACTATTATTATTATTATGTTGGGCTGGAGCGATTGCATAGTGGGTAAGGCGTTTGCCTTGCATGCGCCCGACCCGGGTTCGATTCCTCTGCCCCCTTGGAGGGCCTGGCAAGCTACAGAGAGTATCTTGCCCGCACAGCAAAGCCTGGCAAGCTACCCGTGGTGTATTTGATATCCCAAAAACAGTAACAGCTAGTCTCACAATCTGTTGTGAGACGTTGCTGGTGCCCGCTGGAGTAAATCGATGAACAACGGGAAG